CAGCCAGCATGCTTTAAGATGGGAGGACTTCGCTCCCAGAATTCCCCAGCATGCTTTAAGATGGGAGGATTTCAACTCCCAGAATTCCTCAGCCAGCATGCTTTAAGATGGGAGGACTTCACTCCCAGAATTCCCCAGCCAGCATGGCTGACTGGGGAATTCTGGGAGTCAAAGTCCACTCATCTTAAAGTTGCCAAGGTTGAAAAGCACTGATTTAAAACATTCCTGGTAAGATTGGAGAGAACAGTTACAGAAAGGGATTTCTGATGCTTTTCTTTGGTATGGTTTGCTCTACCAATCGGGAGGATGGGGGAGACGCAGTAAAACACTGAATTCTGAGTATCTCCTCCACAGAGACCAATTCGGGGGGGGGGGGGTGAAATTAGATGCTCAAGCGAGGACCTTTCTATATTTTCTATCTCTATGGTTCCCTCTGAAGCAGCACCACGGACGAACTGCGCGTGCGCCGCCCCTTCAACGGACAGCCGCTCTGCCCGCCTGCGACTCTTTGGTGCAGGAGCTCGACGAGTTCCCGTTTTTAAAGCACGACGGCGCGAAGAGGAGAGGGCGAGAGCAGGAAAAAACGACGGCCGCCCTTGCAAGATGCCGAAACCGCCGCAGGAAGGCCCGAACCCCTTGTTTACGCGATGGCTGCAGGAATGGCGCGACCAGGCCGCGGAACGCGGGCGCCCCAAGAGCCAGCGCGCCTATGAACGGGTAAGCCCCGCCCACTGCGGTAAGCCCCGCCCACTGCGGCACGTCCCTCCCCCAGGGAATATGTCTTTTGGAAAAAAGTTCCTGTTATTAGTGCTGAATAATAATTAGCAACACTCTTAATACAGTAGTAATTAGAACAATTATTAGGATAATAATTATAATAAAATGCAATATTAGCCTAGCTGTTAATATAATAGCATTTAGAATAGTTGTTAGTATAGTAATCAACATAACCAGACAGGAATTAATATAATTAGTTTAATAATAGGACAGTTGGTGGACTGGAGTGTAACTAGTGAAATTAGTATAACTATTAGTATTTTAATTAGCATAATACTTACCTTGCTCATGGCAATTGGTAATTGTAATTATATTATGGGCCAGTAATTAATACTATTATCTTAATTGTCATTATCCATAGTAGCAATGTGAAGTATGGATCAGAAAGTCTGGCCTAATATAATAATAAGGATGATGATGGATTCATAAATGAAGCATTTTCAATTTCTTAAGCATTTTAAATTTGTTAAATTTTAAATTTGTTCATGAAGCATTTTAAATTTGAAGCACCCATCATTGATGCTTTGAGGAGGCCAGCTGCTTAGATGCACTAACTACGAACAATTTTAGTGATGCATAACTGATCACGATTGTCTAGCAGTGACAATAATTATTGGCCAATGATAGATTCTCCAACATCCATAATTAACCATGGTTAGTACAATATATGTTGAGGGATAACTATTAACAAGGATTAATGAGCAACGGAAGGGGGCCTTCTTCCTATATAAAAAGGAGCATTCTTTTTTAAAATGCTTTATTCTCCCTCTCATGTTCGCAAGCCCCAATCCGTGTCCTGTCAAGTCAACTCAAAGTTTATTTCAGTCAAAGACCAATCTAGAATGAAACAATTAACAAACTGTTTAAAAGTAAAAGAAGAGGACGACCAGATATAAAATGCAAGCTACAGAATATTATCGTCACTATGATTACCAGCGTAAGCTGTCTCTAGAACTAACAAACAGAAGGCTATTTGTCCCACACTAAGAGAACTACAATTCTGATATAGAACTAAATTAAAACAAAACAAAGTGACATCTATATTTATCTATTTATTTGAACCCATCAGCTGGCTGGGGAATTCTGGGAGTTGAAGTCCACACATCTTAAAGTGCTCAAGCTTGAGAAACACTGCTCTAATCAATGCTCGAGAAGGACACTGATCCTTGAATGTTGTCCCTGCTATCAACAGACTCCATTTTTATATATTTCTTTCTTTCACCAACCCCCTCTTGATCCAAACACCCCTTTCCCACCACCCTACTGTTTTTCCTCCACCCTTCACCAGTTCTGCTGGCATCCCCAATGTGCCCGAGCTGTGCCATCCATCCCCTAAGGCTTGACATTTTGGTGAAACCGATCCTCCAAACGCCACTCTCCGTGTTTGGAAACCAGGGCCGCCTTGAAACGAAGCCGCCTCGTCCCTTTGCCTGGAAAGAGGCTCTTTGGTTTGGCCCCGTGAATCCCCCCTCCGTTTCTCGACTCGCACCCAGATCGGATCACAGAGGTGAAGGGACCGCTTTGGGTCGAGCAGACTCTCTTCCGTTGCCCTGGAGCCACAAATTCATCTTTCATCCTTTTGTCGTGCGCAGGCGCTGAGCTCTCTCCGCAAATACCCCCTCCCTCTGCGCAGTGGGCGCGAGGCTAGGATCCTTCTGTATTTCGGTGAGAAGATCTGCCGGCAGCTGGACGAGCAGCTGGAGAAACACCGCAGCACCCAGGACGGTTCAGCACTGCCAGGTATGGAACAAGAGAGCCTCTGAAGGGTCTGTGATCACTATGAGAAATCAATTATATCTCTGTGAAATATTCTTCAAGGTAATAAAGGTGTCTTTCCCCTCAACCGAGCACAACTCCTAGCGATGCCAAGCAACCTCTGTATTTTTATTTTTAAACGATTTGTGTTTCCCTTTGTCCGGGATACCATTTCAAGTTCCCTGTCTAGCTGCCGGTGACTTCCCAATTTCCACCTAAGCATGAATCCGGTCAGACCCATTTTTTCCAAAGATCAGCCAGTGAGCTGATCCTTTGAGGCCAATTCAAAGGCAAAAAAATCTCCCTCAACTCCTGAAAACTTCATAAATTCATCGGAGTTGTTTTTTTGTGGGAACAGGGCAGTGCGTTGCATTTTCGCAGAATGTCAGTTGCGACCTTCCAGCCTCCACAGCCTTAAAACTTCCTGTTGGTTTCCCATCTGGGTATTAACTGGGTCCAGCCATCCTTCCTTTTAATTTTATGCAAGGGCATAAAATCTTGTGAAAATGAAAAAGCCCTCCTCTGGGAAGCAATGGTGAGAGTTGTAATGTCTTTGGCTCCGGCTTTTAGAAGACTCGGAAATGAGATTTAAAGAGTTTGAAACATGCATTCCAGGTTTGCCAGCCCCGACGTCTTCTTGGAAAGGGTGTGAAGATGGTGGCGACCCAACTTTCAGCGACAGCCCAGCGCTGCCCCCTGCCCCATCGTCTCTGGAGCCAGCTCAACGCCAAGAGCAATGCTCAAAGGTAAGAGCTTTGCTATGGATAACATGCATCCATTCATTTGGGGGCTGTTTCGTTAGGGAGGGGACAACCATGCTGCTTGGAACAGAGCTGGAACCAGTGGGTGGGTGTGGTCAGAAAGGCTATTTTACCATGTCTTTGGATAAAAAAAGAGGCTAAACCCCCCATCACATCCACCCGTCCCACCTGGTCAGGCAGAGAGGGGATGTTGCGGACCAGGTCAGCAAGAGAATGTCAATTGGCAGGGCCCGGGAGGAGAGTCTTCTCTGCCATCACCCCTGCCCTTTGGAATATCCTCCCCCCAGAGATGCGGCAGACCCCTACCCTCCTGGCTTTCCGGAAAGGATTAAAGACCTGGCTCTTCCAGCTTGCGTGGGGTGACAACAATCTTACCCATTGCTGGGGGTGGCTGACGCCTTGATGACACTCCCCGAGTGACTGCCAATTTTAACATCTATCCTTGCAGCTATTTACTCTCTATTTATTTAAGATGCTTGTGCATTGTAATTTTAATTGTTTTTAAACGTTTGATAAACTGCCCAGAGTCGTTTCAACGAGATGGGCGGTGACAAATGTCTTATATAAATACATAAAAATAAATAAATAAATTAATTAATTAATTAATAAACATTCTTCTAAAGAAATGGTGGGTAAATGTCAGGGCTGCATTCATTCAACACCCCTCACCTGGGGAACTGAAGGAACCCAGTGGGCTCAGTTCACACAACCTGCTAAGCCAGTGTTTCTCAACCTCGGCAACTTTAAGATGTGTGGACTTCAACTCCCAGAATTCCCCGGCCAGCGGGGGAATTCTGGGAGTTGAAGTCCACATATCTTAAAGTTGCCAAGGTTGAGAGACACTGCGCTAAGCCATTGAAACAAAACAAGGTGAAAATTAAAACACGCTAGCCAGGTTGTATGGACACTACTGAGGCGAGACTTCCAAAAAACTAGAAACTGTTGGATGGTTTTCGGCTGTCTTGGGAATAGCAAGTTAAGTTAGAGCGTGGGCTGGGACACTTTAGCCAAGGCTAGGAGTGTGCCCCCCTCCCCTTTTCATTCCCCTCCGTAACGCGAATAGCTGAAAACCGATGGATTGTCTATATTTTGAAATTAGGAGCTTGGAAAACAGCCATGGAAACTCTCAAATCAGCTTATCGAAACCAAAGGAAGTTCCCAAACTTCTCCCCGTATTAGCTTTGCCTACTCGCCTGATGTGGCCGTTCCACTCCCATCCCGCTTTCCAGTTTCTGTCCTAAACGGTGGCACGAACTATAGTACATGCTCTCCTAAACCCCCTTCCTCCTTGCACCTTCAGCGGTTGTGCTCACAAGTCCCATTGAGTTCAAGGGGACTAGTTCCAGGCTGAGAACATCCAGGGCTGGTGGACCTGTCTGCCTTTTTGGCACCAGGGTCAGGGAGTTGGAGGATCCCGTTGGCTGCAGTTTTCCCAGCCCTTTATGTTCCTACAATCTGTGTTTTATTTTTTGATTATTTGCTCCTTGTGTTGTTTTCTGTGGACTTGACTGGGGTTTAGCCAGGATAAACCCTGCACTGAGTCATGTGCCTTGAAAGATGGCAGGAAGTGGTTTCCTAAATGCAAGTCCCCAAAGACATCTTGAAGTGCCCAGTCCCCTTCCTCCTACTTTCCACAGTGTGCCAAATTGGTTGGAGGCAATCTTTCCTGGACGCTTAGCTTCGTCCAGACCAGGACAGTGGTATTATTTTAAAAAAAAATGGTGGGTTCTGCCTCCATTGAAATGTTGTGCCTGCTGGTGATTATTGATGGAGATGGGGGAGAGTGGGAGGAGAAAACATCCCCCAACGATCAAAAAAGACATTTTTATTCACTTGATCACGTTTATGTAGCCGCCCATCTCGCATAAAAGCGATGCTGGATTGAGCTTTCTCTTTCCAGAAAAAACAGATCGTTGCACAGCATCGTGCCCGGGGGTATGTGCCCACTCGGCGTTCTCCAGCTTATGCGGTACTGTTGGCCCTCTACCGCAACACCATGGTAAGATACGGCTGATACTGACCAAGTTGGCTGCAGAAACATTTTAGGATCGAATGGGATGGTTGCAAACTAGATCCTCTTATAGCAAAGGGCAGGTAGTGTTCCTGAGTTTTAAAAATTGGGGCATTTTGAGTAAAGTGGTGTGGCCACACAAGGGTGCATACATTTCTCTCCTTTCTCCCTCTTCGTGTTCCCTCCACTTTGGAATCTGTTTCATTTGTTTTTCGCCTTTGGGAGGAGATGAAACTTCTGCACGCAAATATGTCCTTGAAGGCACATTCATCTGTTTTTACCTATTCCTGGGTTGGGTCTGTTGTTGTTCAGTCGTTAAGTCGTGTCCGACTCTTCGTGACCCCATGAACCATATCGC